GATGCGATGCATCGGTTTAAAAAGTGTGCATCGGCTACAAGTTGGAATTTATATCGCGATTCGCGATGCATCGTTTCTAATATATTTGCATCGGCAAAAAACGATTTATTTATATATATTTACTAGTGGATGCGCTATACTTTTATTATTTAGAAAGTGACCAATAATCTGTGACCAATATTTTATATGTAGATTGATTTCTCCTCTCTAAAATGTTTCTCAAGCGCATTCTTTCATCATCGCTGCTTTGTGAATATGATCACAACATACATCACGGAGACCTGAGGAAAAACTGGGATTACATTCACGATTATTTAGATATAATTATTAGTAGATGCGCTACACTTTTATTATTTATTATTTTGTGACCAATATTTTATATGTAGATTGATTTCTCCTCTCTAAAATGTTTCTCAAGCGCATTCTTTCATCATCGCTGCTTTGTGAATATGACGAATCACAACATCACGGAGACCTGAGGAAAAACTGGGATTAAAGTCCAAAACCTGACTTGAAATAATCTAACAAGTCAATCAGGGCTAAAGCGGTACCATACACAACAAATTAAGTTCACACAATCTCACTCATTTGTGCATTTGTGCACGCCTTAATGTCGATCATGGATCAAATCGTTCCACCATGGCTAACAGCGAATATATCTGTGCTGTTTAATGCATCTGAGACGTTGTGTTTTCCTCAGTGCATAACGGACATGTCACAGTTATATTCTTCATGTGTAAATGTTAGACTGTCATGCAAATATATAAATTTTTGCTGTCAGGAGTGGGCGAGGCTTACACGAGAGCAACAACCGCAGCTGCGCGCATGCGCACTAAACAGACAGAGCGCAATAATTATGAGTAAAATATAAATTTTGTTAAAATATTTGTTGTTGGACATTAAATGTGTCTTTTGTAGAATTTTAAACCTACATGTAAGTGTATTTTTATGAGTAACAGTTTATGAGTAGCAGTAACTGTAAAGGGACTATTGTAATGGGTAAATCAAATGTAAGTTAGTACAGTCCTAATTACTAAGCTCAAATGAGTTAATGTGTTTCTTATAGCAGTTAAAATATAGTCATTTTCTTTATTATTTATTTTTAATTCAGTGATTTTAACTTTTAATTTAGTTATTTTAATGGTTTAAAGAGCAATTTTAGATAGTTCTAATGTTCTAATGTTCTGCTATCTGTTCCGCAAACTATAAAAGGTGCAGCTCTCATAAAACCAGAGAGAAAGGCTGCATGGCTAGAAACTGTAAAAAAAAGTCAAATAATAGTATGTGAGAGAGTCAGTGGTAATATCATTCCGTTCCTATTGGTAAGTGTTAGAGGAACTCAGCTTAGTCTGACAGCCTGCTTTTAGTTTCCCAGCATAAGTTGCCACAGTGACTAAGCTTGATCTAGGCCTATGTTAAATTTGCTTTATGGAACCAAATCATTTGACAATGAGTCAGACTAACTGAAATAAGCCTGGCTTATTTGGTAAACGTGTTTTATAAAACAGGCCTCGAGGCATTAAACGTGATCATATTTTCTCCATTGCATCGTATTACATCAAATCGCATTGTGTTGAATTGAATCAAATCAAAATCGGATCGCACTGCATCGTATCGCATCGCATTGGTAACTGCTTCATATGTATCTTTAATGTATCGTATCGTATATATATATATACATTTTTATTTATTATTTTTATTTAGTTTTGGATATTTTAGTACTTCAAGTTAATCTAAATGAAAATGACAAATGTTGTCTTGGCAACTAGCTGAAATAAAACAATTTTAAGTTTGACTTTTTAAAATATATATTTTTTTCAGTTAATGTTTATTTTGTTTTAATTAATGATATATAATATAATATAATATAATATAATATAATATAATATAATATAATATAATATAATATAATATAATATAATAATACTCATTTTTTTGTTTTCATAGTTTTTTTTGTTTTGTTTTTTCCAATACACAGCTGCTTTTGAACTACTATCAGTTGAAAAATGCTTTTTGCCCACATATGGTGTAGCATCTAACAGTAGGATCTAACTACTGAAATTAACCAGAAAAACCTTTTACTTTTCAATCATTCACCTCCAACCCGTCTTTTTAAACCTTCCCTTCCATTCCCCCTTTATAAGATCCCAAAAATTCCAGACAGATAAAATCCAATCTCATTCTACAAGCCCATTCTAATTATCGTTGAATATCCTATTTCACTCAAAAAAGATGTCTGATTAATGAAGCACAATTGGCTGTGATTGGTGTTTGAAGTTGACTTTAAAAGTGGTTCTGCGGCAGACAGGTGGAGTGTTCAGGATACCTGTTTGAAAAGGATTTTTATATCTGCAATCTCAACCGTTTTTATCTGATTGATGTGCATTTTAATATAAAAAGCAAACACATCATATCCTTGAAGTGGAAATTATAAACAAATAAAAGACAGATACCCGGCGTCAGTGTATCGATTTATTATTGCATTGTGTTTCTGTCCAGATCTTTTCCCCATCTCAATTAGCTGTGCTTCTGCACTAAGTAGCTCTGACCAGTGCAACCCACTCTAATGCAGCCCTGAACCATCCCTGACGACCCTTGACCAACTCTGATGAAAAAATGACACCTTTGGGGAAGGACAGCGAGCTGAGTGAAGCAGCTTCATAATTAAAGAGGGATTATCCGACACACGGGTTTGAGAAGCCGAGAGAGATGAACAGACACCTACCTTCACAAGAGAGGCCATGAGAAGTGACCCCTGAGAGGCTGTCCCGACAGACGTTACAGAAGGTAGGGCGAGCGTGGGAGCAGGCATACCAGTTGTGCATCCCTGAGAAATGTTCCACATTAAACTGTGCCGTCTAACAAAGGAGAAGTTAAGACAAATTGGCAGCGCCAGGATAAGTCTTTTTCAGAGCCCTTAAAACAAAGGCTACATTTTTCAGCTCTCATACACACACATGCATCACACAGACTGGCACACATTTAACAGCCGCAGGTGTATGACACACAACCCTCCTGCATGCAACACCACACCGGCATGGGCATCTACCTGCAGCACCCTAAAGCAACAGGACAGTGATTTAAGAGGCCAGTTGTCGGTTTGATGCGTCTTGAATGTTAAAACTATTTAATAGGGAGGACGGCGCCCCCAGTCAGGGGTGCCAGCGGAGCGCTGGAGTTCTGGGTGTGGTATTGCAGAACACGGGGGCTGAGAGTCTTACATAACCATCTTCATCTCATATCAAAGTGAGCGTACAGTCAACACTCAACGCTGCAGTCCGCTCTTTCATTTACTGGTGTCAGATGTTAAAAACCACCACATGCACACATGCACAATTAGAGTCGGTCAATTAGCAACAACAAACAGAGCAAAACGCCTTTTTCCAGAACTATTTTAAACATAACATGATATCTATGCATAATATTTCAGATGCATATGAGAAGAGAAGAGGAAATCTGAAAGTAGGTACGTTTAGAAGCTGGATTTGAACACCCAAAGCATGTGGCGAAATACACAGGTCCTGATTGAAAACAGTTAAGGGGATTCTAAGGCATGCATCTTAGAAGTGTGTTTGAAAAACAGTGATAGTTCAAGATGCAACTCAAGTCAAACAGCGTTCTTACCTCGTAATGCTCTCTGGATTGAACTGATTTCAGCGAGCTGATCCAGTCCTCCATTTCTTTCCTGTTCTCGGCGCACAGGATAAGCCTTCGGAACGGTGTAATTACCTACAGGGAGACAGAGATCCGGGGAGATGAGAGCGGAGCGTCTCACCCGCCTGCCTGACTGACTGCAACTGACAATGAGATCTCACCCTTCCC